GTATTCCACTTTGGCTGTCATCAAACTGGTGGGGATTTGGAACAAAATTGACAGCTTCATGCCAATCCCAGGTGCGGTCTGCTGGTGGGTACTGGACAATGACAGGTGGTTGTGGTTGTGGAGGTTGTGGTTGTGGAGGCTGGTGTGGTGGGTGGGTGGGGGATGGTGGCCTTTGTTGTAGATCAGCTGAGGCAGCGGCATGGGTGGCAGCATGGCCCACTGCTGGTGCCTCACGGCCGGCACTACCACTACCACCACCATGCACATTTTCCATCCCAATTGCAACACTATCATCATCATTTTCACTGTCTGTTCCTGTTGTACAGCCACGGGATGTACTCTGAGATGTACTCCTTCCCCTTGGAATAGCATATGGCACACTACCAGAGCGCATATATCGTCGTATATACTGACGCTTCACTGGGGAATATTGCACTTCACTATCACTACTGGAACTAGTTTGAAGAGCTTGTAGTTCATAATCACTATCACTATCATCACAAATGCTCACATCTGAGTCTGGGATTTGGGAAAATAGGAGTTTCCTCTTTGAATCTGGTACAACTGAGCGTGAACAAGATGGCCCAGCACCAGAGGTGGAAGGCTGAGGGTCGTCTGGGTTTTCCTCACTATTACCGATATTATGGTCATTAGTTTCGGTCAAAACCTCACCAAAACCTTGAAACTCATCTTCACTGTCACTTCCATATGTATTAGAACTGTCACTGGGGAACAAAAGTGTCCCAATTTGCTGAGGAGTGAGAAACTTCTTACCGGGAGGCATGGTGGGCATTGTGTACTAAGATGGTGTTCCCACAATGCACCACTGGGTCCCAGATTTTTTTTCTACTGCACACACCCACCACACAGACCCATTCTCTCACATCTAGGCCTACCAGCCTTTTCCCGCGAGATTTGACTGCGCTAGAATTTATGCATACTAGTACGTCAAAAACCCCTGCACATAAGCCGTACTAGTACATCCGAAATCCCCAAAGGGTTAAGTGTGATAGTGTTGGTGGGTTCTGCTGGTGCCACCACCACCACCACTTTGTATGGCTTCTCTCAGTGGCCCTTATAAACCAAACAACAACAATTCCATCACTTTACTCCTCTCATACATTATGACATATTTTTATTCATTCTCGAGTATATATCATGTTTCTGTGTTATTAATATTGTTTATTATGTCATACTAGATGAATTGTGATAGATAAATAAGCCGTAGAGATGATATTAGCATCATATTCATTTGTATAAATTAGATTCACTTATTAATAGGCATACTGTACAACTATGATAATTTCTTTAATGATAAGTAGTCAGTAAGCCATTAAATTAAGTTAACCCATAATGCCAAGGCATAATAGAGGCTCTCTTTGCACTGCAACCCATCATTGTAAAAATCTAATCTCAATATACTACTTGCAAAGAAATAAATGAATTTTAATAAACTCATCTCCCTTTTGCCTCCTAAGTGTCTTCCATGCACCAACAAGAGCCAATAAAGGTAAGTGTGATGTTAAATGTTCATTTATCCATTTTATTAGTGCTTTATGTTTATTTGTCATTGTTTTCTGTATCTATATCTATATTTAATATTTAAAAAAAATATTTTTTGTTAATACTTTTGGCTGTCTGGAACGGATTAATTGGATTTTCATTATTTCTTATGGGGAAAATTAATTTGGCTAAAGGCAAAATCGGTTAAAGGAAAGCTCTCTGGAACGGATTAATGCCTTTACCTGAGGGTCCACTGTACTGTATTTTAAGGTGTCAAAAATGCTGTTTTTCTCAAAACAAGTCTTGAAAATTTACCCAGCATCTTGGAGGCTGAAGGTTACATTGCTCAAAGGCCTCAGCCTATGCCTAGAGAAGTGTTTTGATACTGGACAGTAATCTAAGTTCCTGTATATGACCCAGTAATGAATCATGTAAACTTTCATATAGAATAATAAATAAATAAATTAAAATTCATTGGTGCTTAGCACTGGTAGGCTAAGGTAAACCAGGCAATGGAGTCAGATGGACAACAGGTAGTATCAGTAGGCTAATTCGTCTATTTACCATCAAACCACAAATCAGTATATAGTCATAGTTGTAGACACATCCACTTAGACTCACTGAGACAGTGAGTAGAAAGAGAACAGGCAGTCAGCTGTGTCAGTGGTAAACAACAGCAGAACGAACCATGAACATGTGTGTTTTTGTGTGTAATGCCTCAGGCTTAATTAACATAATGTTATTGCTGTTATTACTATGGATACTGTGTATTTTTTTTTTCCAAAGTTTAATCAGTTGACACTGGAGTGTCTTGACTTCCATAAAATATGATAAGTTGATGCAAATGGCAAATGAAATCTGTCTGCATGTGCTGACTGATTTGAGTAACTCTCAGTCATACTGGCCCAAAATTTCTTAAGGGTTGACTGCTGATGCACATCTTGAGCTGCGAAATAACTTTTCAGATTCAAGAATTCCTCCTGTAAATCCCCTGGCACATTATTGACATTGTTGTGAGTAGGTTCCTTATGAATGAGATCCCATCCCTTATCCTGTCCACCTCTGGAAAGTATCATTGGATTTAGCATGGTAGCTTCTGTAAATGAGAAGTTGTGTCCAAATGGTTTCCTTTTCCCTGAGCATGGTAGCCATGCATGGAAATTGAATCACATTATTACCTTCAACTCATATGATCCAAAATTCCAGTTTGCCAAGAAAAGCATTGATGATGCTTTGGTGAGAAAACATTTGCACCTTTTCAGTGGAAGATTCAGTTTGTTAAAGATTCTAAAAATATTGACAAGATATGTAATTTGTAGAGTTGAGTGGGTAAACACAATTTGGAATTCTCTTTTTCTTGACTTTCTTGAAATAAATCCAACTCCTCTTTCAACTGAAAAATTCTGTTGAGTATGTTTCCTGCTGTTGAACAGCAACGTTAAAGTTGGAACTCGTGTCTTGGCAATATATTTTGCTGAGCCTGGTGTTCACAGTCTATGATTTTCTGATGATTTAATGTGATTGATCACCTCCACCAACCCTTTGAAAATGGTGTTCTGTTGTTCTGACAATGTTTTTTGATGCTGGTGCTTTCCTAAGAATGAAGTCAGTAATTTGGCCAATTTCTCACAAAAATAATACTAATTAAAATATAGTCCAAAATAAGCAGTTTAGACATTTATGGTACTAAAACAGTGTTTTTTCTGTTCATTAATCATGTCTCCAAGCCTCTCTATTTTGAATTTATTATCACACAAAAATAGAAGGTTTACTCTATTTCTTGGATAATGAAATATAACCAGGAATGATTGGTTATGGTTTACAGTGTTCCAATAACTGAATCAGAAATATTAAACACTCATAAAGCAGACTGGGGGTTATAGGTGGACCTTACCTGTCCCCACCATGTACGGCAGGATTTTTTTATATTTCCACATACACCTCGTATCTATGCCAAAATTTACAGTGATATAGTTCTATGTGACAGCCACTGAAAAGATTAACAAATTCTGAAGTTCGTGAGAGTAGTTTTATTTTTTCATTGTAAAATGACATTGGGAACCAAATAAGCAAAGCATATAACAGCAAAAGGGCTAATATTCCATGTCATAGGAAGTACTGTTATGTAGATTAGGTATAACAGTCTCTTCAGAATAGAAATATCACTGTTACTGGAAAAGCTTGAGAATAATATTTGAATATCAAAATTTTGAATATAACCAATGAAAATAGAATACATATTACAATAATTTAATTACTGAGAACAAAAAAAAAATTGCAGTAAAAACTTGGGCTTCATCTTAGGAACCAATATCAAATATAGAAAATTAACCCTTTGACTGTTGCATCCCCAAATCCTGAAGTGCCTCCTCCTGGTGTTGCAAAATATTTGAAAAAAAAAAAAAAAATTCTTATGAAATGATAGAGAATCTTTTCTCGATGATAATGACACCAAAAGTACGAAATTTGATGAAAAACTTACGGAATTATGCTCTCGCGAAGTTAGCGTCCTTGGCGACATTTATGCATTGGCGATTTAGCCCACTTTGAGCCCTATTTTTGGCCAATTCCATTGTTCCAGCCAACAAACTCATAGCTATTTCTTTAGAACTCCATTTGTTCTATCGATTGAGTACAAGAAACCACCCATTTACTGATTTCAGCTACCTAATAAAGTGGTCAGAAATTGGCAATTTGGCCAATTTCATGCAAATTAAAAATGTCAATTTCAAAATAGGGTCCAGAATAAACAATGCAAACATTCCTGGCACTAAAGTAACAGTTTCTCTGTTCCTCAGTCACGTCTCCAGGCTCCTGTTATAATACTCTTGCTTTCTATTTTGCATTTTTATTACTATTATGCAGACAACTGCAATATTGTAATAATTGTATAAATAGCGTCAACCCATTCGTGACTGCATATTAGAATAGCTAGTTGGACATTTATTGGACAGTGACATCATTTGTTTACTCTTGAACATTGGCAAAAATCGAACACTTCTGCCACTTTGAGTTCCATTTCAAGATCCTTTTCATAGTAAAACCAATCAAAATCACTTCTATTTCTATAATACATGTATGTTTTCCATTATATCAAATGAGACCAAGAAAAGAATACAACCATAAATACTATACGAAAATACACCTCAAAGTCTGAGTTTTAATTGAAAAACATGGTTGGAGTTTTTTTTTTTATTATGTACTGCGTGCTGCAGGATTTTTTTTTTTTTTGTACTGCGCACACTGACCACACAGACCCATTCTCTCACATGTGGGCCTACCAGCTTTCTCCTGCTTGATTTGAAGCCACTAGAATTTTTGAATATATATACGTCAAACACATTGGCTCATGAGACATATATATACGACCGAAACAGTCAACAGGTTAAAGAAGTGAATGCACGAATCAATGGAATTGCATTGTATTGAAAAAGTTTTGTTCATGCATGTGTTTGTATGTCTATATTCATATTCACATTATTTCTTATGTTTTGCAGGTTCTGCACGAAACATTACTGTCAAAATTCAGTTTATGGCGGGAGAAGATGAGCTGGCGGCTATGTCGGTCATCTTCGGTAAATCTTCATGTCCAGAGTTCACAACAGAGGCTCACACTGCAGTCACCTACCACAACAAGTCACCAGATTTCTATGATGAGTTCAAGGTCAAGTTACCAGCTGTGCTTGGAGACCAGCATCACATTCTCTTCACATTTTATCACATTTCATGCCAGAAGAAAAATGAAGAGAAGACCATTGAATCTCCTGTTGGCTACACTGTAAGTAAAGGTGGTGGTGCTTAACCCTTTCAGGGTCCGTGCCGTAGATTTACGGCTTTACGTTCAGGGTCCAAACCGTAGATCTACACCAAAATTCTAGCAGCGCCAAATTTAGCGCGAAAAGGCTGGTAGGCCTACATGTGAGAGAACGGGTCTGTGTGGTGTGTGTTCGCCATAAAAAAAATTCTAGCCGCCCGCATAGCATTGTGGGAATGCCGGCTCAGTTACCTTTGTTCACCATGCCTCGTTGCAAGGCAGCTCTCACTCCAAGGAAAATTGGGACTCTCCTCTTCCTATCTGATAGTTCTGACTAGGATGGAAGTGGAAATGATGACGAATTCTTTGGCTTTGATCAGTTAGCGACCGAAAGGAATGACCAGGATATCGATAATAGTGCAGAAAACCCTGATGATCCTCAACCTTCTACCTCTGGTGTGGGCACTCCTCAGTCATGTTCAGTTGTACCTCATCGCAAGAGAAAACTATTATTTTCGCGTGGCCAGGCCTCTGACTTCAGTAATGATGATGATAGTGACGTAGATTGTGATTTTATTGCTCTTGACGATCATTCGAATAGTGATGGTGAGGAAACATATTCACCAGTGAAGCGTCGGTATATACGCCGCCGCATGTGCTCGGGTAGTGTTCCCTATGTAGTGCCCAGAGGACGGAGTACATCCCGGAGTACATCCTGGAGTATATCCCATGGCCCTACACCAGGAATAGACAGTGAAAGTGAGGATGATGTGGCTACACTTGGCATGGATAGACCAGGTAGTGGTAGTGGTTATGTTAGTGCCATGGCCATGCATGACTCGCCAGCCCAGTCTGGGACCCACGCTGCTGACTCTTCAGTTCAAGGACAAAGCGGAGCATGAGCCACCAGCCCACCACAACCACAACTACCAGCACAACCAGCTTATGATGTCCAGTATCCACCAGCAAGCCATATCTGGGATTGGCAGCAAAATCCCAATTTTGTTCCCAAGCTCCACCAGTTTGATGACTCTCAAAGTGGAATTCTACCTACTTGTCCCCTTGGAACCACTGCCAATGAACTGGAATTCTTTGAACTATTCTTTCACCAGCCCTTGATGGAAACTATTGTCAGGGAAAGTAACAAGTATTTTGAGTACACCATGGCAAATACGATGATATCACCACAGTCAAGACTACACCGGTGGAAAGAGACAACTGTTGCAGAAATGTATTTGCTTTTTGCAACAGTAATGCTTATGCCTCATGTCTATAAGCATAATATAAAATCATACTGGTCCACAGGTCGGCTAATTTGTACCCCAGTCTTCAGTGAAATCATCCCAGTGAACAGGTTTATCTTACTGTTACGTATGTTGCACTTCTCTGACAAAACCAGGCCTGACAGAAGTGACAGGTTATACAAGATTAGAAATGTTTTTATGTATCTCAAACAAAAGTTCAACATGTACTTTTATCCATTCAAGAATCTTATACTTGACGAGTCTTTGATTTTGTTCAAAGGTAGACTGTCATTCAAACAGTATATACCGAGCAAGAGGAAACGCTTTGGTATAAAACTGTTTGTACTCTGTGACAGTGGCCTGGTATTGGATATTGTTGTATACACAGGAAGTAAAACATTGAAAGATACCAGGATGTTATTGGGTATCTCAGGTGATGTAGTGAGATGCATGATGGCACCTTATCTTGGTAAAGGGCATACATTATATACTGATAACTGGTACACAAGCTCCTTTACTCAGTGATTTCTTGCGAGTGTACAAGACAGATGTGTGTGGCACAGTGCGTTCTAATCGTAAACATATGCCCAGGTTTAACACAGGCACTCGTGGTGAAGAGGTGAAGGTGTTTACTGCCAATGATATGGCATTACGGTGGCATGACAAACGAGATGTCACATTGTTGGCAACCATTCACCATAACGAAATGCAAGACAGTGGCAAAGTTGATAGAGTGACTAATGAACATATTCGAAAACCAGTGACAGTGATTGATTATACACAAAACATGTGCTTGGTTGACAAATGTGATATGCAGATTGGCTTTGTTGATTGCGTTCTTAAGAGTTACAAGTGGCATATGAAACTTCCATCTCATGGACATTTCAGTGCTCAATGCATATAATATGTACCAAGTGAAGACTTGCAACAGACCACCGTATGGTGAATTTTGTTTGTCTGTTGTCAGACAATTCATAATGAAATAGTACCAGGTAACAACACCTGCTATACAAAACCGTCCTCGAACTCCTCAGGATATACCCAAGCGTTTGAGGAGGGAAGGTGATCACTTCATAATACAACTTCCTGCAACTTAAGAAATTTGCTCAGAAGAGATGTGTTGTCTGTGCACAAACAAAACGACGGCAACAAAGACGCAAAGACACTCGGTTTATGTGCGAGGAATGAAAGGTACCTCTGTGCATGGTGCCTTGTTTCAAGGAGTTCCACAAGCTGCAGCAGTTCTAAAAACATGTCCAGTGATTGTACTTATGTAAATATATGATAGAACATTAGTATTATACAAGATTTGTGCATGTTTATTGTAATAAACAAAAGCGGTAAACAATATTATTATAATAACTTTAGTGCGTTTATTGTGTTCAATACAATGAGTTTATATATATACATTATATACAGTATTGGTCTCTAAGGCCCCAAATGTTACTAGGAAAAAAAATTAGAAAAGAAAAGAAAAAATATAAAAAAACGTAAAATAAAGAAATGCGAGTTTGTGGAAATTGTCAATGTTGCCGCCACCTGGTCATTTTGGGTCAACTTCTCTCCACTGTATCTCAGTAAGTACTGATCAGAATTTTTTTTTTTGCTTTATTACCTTCACAAAAATATACTCCTTAATTCTGTAAGAAAAAAATCTTTTTTTTTTTTTTTTTTTTTTTTTTTTTTTTTTTTTTTTTTTTTTTTTCAAAATTTTTTGGGCACTGGGGCACCCTGCCGATTTTGCCCTTGGACCCTGAAAGGGTTGAGGTGTTCTCATAGATATTTAATGTTGAGTACTATCTCTTGATAATGTTTCAACATAGTTTGGTAATGTTTCATTATAACCTGGTAATCCATGGTGAAACAATTCTACTGTTGTATTTTGTCTTGTTAATTTTTAGAAGTTTCATTGATTAACAAGTAAAGCCTAAGAAAATTTTAAAGATATATTATTGCCTTGTTGATGATTACATTTTATTATCCAAAAGTAATGGTGGTAGCAAAATGCCTGTACAGTAGGGCCTCACTTATACGGCAGGTTAGGTTCCTGGCTACTGCCGTAAAGTGGAACACCCTTTTTTTTCCACTTATAAATGCATAGAAATACTAGATAACAAGTTTACACTAATATATATTAAGTTAGCAATAGAACTAGACATAAAAAACAATAAAAAAGTAAAATACACATATATTACACTCATTACTTACCTTAAGAGATTTGTAGTCTTGATCTAAGGTGAGATGAGTAGTATTTATTGTAAGAAATCAAGTGTGGTATGTATGGTAGCCAGCCAAGCTACCATACCAGGCAAGTAAGTAATATTCACTGACATTTAAACATCCCAGAGCTATAAAATGCATACACAGTTCACTCATAACTTAAAATATTTGTAGTCTTAGTGTAAGGTCAGAGGTGAGTAAAAGAGATAAAATGAATAAATGAGAGAGAGAGAGAGAATGAGTACATGAGAGAGGACACTCGCGGAGTTATGTAAACAAACCAGGTGTATAGGGTCAGAGGTGAGTAAAAGAGATAAAATGAATAAATGAGAGAGAGAGAGAATGAGTACATGAGAGAGGACACTCGCGGAGTTATGTAAACAAACCAGGTGTATAGGGTCAGAGGTGAGTAAAAGAGATAAAATGAATAAATGAGAGAGAGAGAGAATGAGTACATGAGAGAGGACACTCGCGGAGTTATGTAAACAAACCAGGCGTACGCGAGTTTTGTAAATAAGCCAGGGAAACATGTCTGGTTTGTGTACAAGTTGCATCGTATACAAGGTGTGTTTATGTTGATGTGGTAGAATAAATAAAGAGGAACACTCCCATTCTCGTGTAACACCATTTTTAGAAGAAATGATGCTCTGAGTGAAGGTATACGAAAGGAATAATTTTCTACAGTTACCCCCAGTAACACATTTTCTCTTATGTTGGACTAGAGAAAACGTTATTCTTGCCATCACTCGTACAAGTTGTCTGGCTAACACATCTCATATTTATGTTTATATATTCTTCTGTGGGTGTATTTATCATGTATATATGTTACAAATCTTGTTTATTATATAATTTTGAAAAATATCATAGATGGATTAATGAAAATGTGTATATTAACGTAATATATGACATTTAATTAGACTTGGTGATTATTATTGAGTACAGTGGACCCCCGGTTTACGATATTATTTCATTCCAGAAGTATGTTCAGGTGCCAGTACTGAACGAATTTGTTCCCTTAAGGAATATTGTGAATTAGATTAGTCCATTTCAGATCCCCAAACATGCACGTACAAACGCACTTACATAAATACACTTAACATAATTGGTCGCATTGGGAGGTGATCGTAAAGCAGGGGTCCACTGTATTATTATTATCATTACAGTGGACCCCCGCATAACGATATTAATCCGTTCCTGAGAGCTCATTGTTGTGTGAAATTATCTTTATGTGAATGAATTTTCTCTATAAGAAATAATGGAAATCAAATTAATCCATGCAAGACACCCCAAAGTATGAAAAAAAAAATTTTTTACCACATGAAATATTAATTTTAATACACATTCTGTGATTTGAAATATATGAGTTTTCCACTCATCCATAAATTGATAGAAAAAAGCTGAATACATATGGCAAAAACTAAATGAGAAATATATAATGTGTTTGAATATTTACAATATTACTAGGTAGTAGGTTGGTAGACAGCAACTGCAGGGGGGTACTCCCGTCCGTAAAGTGAGGGGTAAAATGGAAGCCTAAAATTTGTTTACGTAAAAGTAGGT